CTACTGTGTATATGAGAGACAATTCTCTATAATCAATCAAGATTAAAACCTTCAGGCTCACCTTTGGGAGTGAAGCCCGTGATCCTGAACTCTGGGTTGTCATAGTGAGTACAGTTGTTATACCTAGAGCCACTCTAGCTGGAGCGGCATCCATGTTGATCCAAAATGACACCCATGATAGTATGACAATCAGGAGACTGGGAATATACATTTGAATGAGATAATATCCCATCTGCCTTTCAAGATGGAATTGAACTTCGATGCAGGTGAACTTTCCTGGTTATAACAGAGAACAACTGTTAGAGGAACCAGTTATATTCCATTATCAACTACCCTTGATGCAATGACAAAATAATGTCAATTACTTTTTGCTTGTAATATATTACAACATCCCTCGCTAATTGTTCATATACTTGTTCATTTATTTATTGTATCTGTACTCTACAACTCCTATAGTTCTCATTCAAGTTCCTGGAAATAAGAGCATATAATGGTCAGCTTGTGAATTCCAGTCAATGTGATTAAACCAATGTTGCCTGGAGTAGTACAAACAAATTGCATGCTTAGAATGGTCAAATTCTTTGTAAGCAACTTGAGTACAGCTGAATTCTACCCAGTGCCCAAGGTTATGAGGCAGAAAATCCTGTAAGGGTTTCCAGGGTGAATCCAGATTTAATTTTACTTTAGGATTAGGGTTAGGGTTAGAATTGAATCCAGATTTAATTTTACTTTAGAGAACCCAATAACCCATTTTGAACATTTTGTATTGTATCAGAAACTGTTTTATGATCATTTCAATATCATAAAATGTTTTATAAAATCTACTGAATTTCAATTCCACAGGAATCATAGGTACTGAATTTTGGACACATTCCGATTTGAGTTAGTTTGGTTCAAAAGAAGTCTCACTATGTAAAGTTTTGTTTAGTTAAATGTTACATAGAGTTTTATAGTATAATCTACAGAAAATATCCATTTAAATAACTTTAAAGCAAATAGAATTCATTTTAAGAGATTTATTATAGCCTCCTAAATAGATAATTAAAGATGGAGTTACTTAAGTAATAACGTTAATAATAACAATTAGCTGTCTAAAACTCACTTTACTCTGCTTCTTTGTGGGGCTGATGCTAACAACAAACAAAAGGAATGTAAAAATATGTGCAAAATGCAACAATAATTATTTCTTTTAAAATTGGAGGTAATCAACATGTTACTATTCCTACTTATTACACTATGATCATTTTCTTTAATCAACAGTGGCAGAACACAGCTGTTCCCAGTGGTTATAAAGATGTTTGATTTTCTGTTTTGATAAAATATCCAGCAGCATTCCAGATGTAAAACCTTTATATGTGAAAAATAAGCCAAAAACATAGGATAGCAGCAGCAGAATCTTTATTTTATCATAAGGACATGCGAAGTTTTTTCCACTGAATCAGCAATCTCCAGTTTTTTAATATCAATAACAATATCTATGTTCTACTTTATAGTTCTGTAATTGGAGGTAGCAAATTAAAATAAAATTAGTCTAATAAAAGTAATCATATATTTAAAACTGAAGACTAAAACCTTCAAAATACTTTAAAATATGACTCTCAGGTACGATGTTATTTTGTCTACACTCATGCAAATTCTCTAAATTCTACAATTTTCCCAGAAAAAATATCTTGACTTTATTTCTTTCACTGTACTGGATTGTCTCTTGTCTGATATTTTGTGGCTGATGTTATTATCTATTTAATTGCCACTCCATATTGAAGTTGAAATGTGTGTTATGAAACTCTTCTCCTGGATATAAATATTTCTTGGCTCAAGAATCATTACTACTCTGTGATTAACTATACATTGAATATATTCTTGATGAACAAGGAGTTACAATGTTCTTTCAAGTGTCAAAACACTGAGTAGTTTTCCCACCTGTATTGTAGTGTTTTGTGCAGTAACAAAGATCTTTATCTTCTTTCAACAAAAACTGTGGCAAAGTGAGTCCTTCAGCTACTTGAACAGCACCATTTTCTTGCCATTCAAATACAAGATCATTCATTGTATAGCCAACTAGGAAAGGAAGCAAAAAAGTTGAATGGAAATTAACACACATTTAATTCCAATATTTTCTCCAATTCAAGAGCACAGGATCAAATATAAAAAACAATACCGTTGTCAAATAAAAATCTCTGTATCACTTTCATGTAGCTCATATTAAATTATCTGTGTGAAATTTAAAGTGTATGAACTTCTGAAGTATTATATGAGAAAATGCAATTTCTGCACCGGTCATGTCATTGCTTTATTAATTTTAATTAATAAAATAAGGCAATCTTTTGCCTTGACTGAAGTAATATATCCATAATTTTGTCATATACAAATAGTTTTCGACTTTCAATTGTTCTTTTAATGATTGTTCAAAGTTACAACAGCACTGAAAAAAGTGACTTATCATCATTTTTCACACTTATAGCCCCATCAATCACTGATCAGTCACATGATCAAAATTCAGACACCTGGCAATTAGTTCATATTTATGATGCTTGCAATGTCCCAACGTGATGTGATCACCTTTTCCAGCCTTCTGACAAGCAAAGTCAATGGGGAAGCCAGATTTGGGTAACTACTTTGTCTCTAACTGAACAATCACAGGGGTACACTTAAAAACAGTTGCAAGAAAGGTTGTAAAATGGACAAAATTCACTTAACAAATGTCTCACTCAGCAACATAAATTTTGGGCTCAGTTGTGGGTGTAGGTCAAGGATACCTCAGGGACGTGCAGTCACTAGAGGCAAGGGAGGCGGGGGCCTCACCAGTCTCCTCAGGGAAAGGAAAGGATTTTAAATAATTTTCTTAAAATAATTAAAGCCAGGGTAGTTGCTACCAGATTTCAAGTCACAGTGGCTTGGTGTCTGAGTATTAACTAGAAGGAGGCCAGAGAACTAGGGGCCTCTTTTGCATAAGGAATTTTTCGCCTCTTAAGAGTTAAGCA